CACGAACCGAAAATTCGAGCCTTCCGCCCCGAGAGGGCTCAAAGAGGCCCCAAGAGGGCCCCAAGAGGCCCCAAGAAGCACCCCAGAGGCCCCCAAGAGGCTCCAAGAGGCCCCCAACAGACCCCCCGAGGCCCCCAAGATTCCCCAAACTGCCCCCAAGAGGCCCACGAGAGCGCTCCGAAGAGACTCCACGAAGACCTGAGAACTCTAACCCACAACCCGGGCACAAGGGCGGGATGGGCCGAAAGCCATTATCGGGTCGGGCGAAAGGGGGGGATTGGGAAAGGGGGGGTTACGAAATTTGCTGCATGCAGCTGGTTTCGGCCTCACCGAGGGGCCCATTCCTCGATACATGGGCGCCTCCCGGCGCCGGGAGGCGCCGGGGAAATCAGCTACGTGAGCTGATTCTCAACCCGCCCCCCTTTGCTATCCCCCCCTTTCGCCCGACCCGACATTAGATACCGAAGGAGGAAATAGGGAAGCATGGATTCGCTGAAATTCGACGATAACCGCACTGTGGTTGCGAACTCAGCTTGCGCCAAGCAAGAACGCCAGGCGGAGCACCACAGAGGCTGGCCCCCAGTCTAACGACACCCTCCTCTTGACTCCTGGGCAACCGTGGCCATCGAAGGGTCTCACGGCCAGGGAAGAAGACCCTCCCGAATCCGCTCACGTCAGGCTCTCATGCCCTTACCTCGAAAAGGTAAAAGGGTGCAGCCTGTGAAACTGAAGGGGCCCTGGGACACACAAATAAAGACACATAGATAACCGGATCCCCCATATGTTCCTATATCTTCTGGGTTCTTGCCTTCCCCCCCACTTCCCATATCTTCCCCAATCTTCTGGGGAATCGACGATGCATTTGTCGGTGTGTGTGTGTGTGTTTGTGTGTGTGTGTGTGTGTGTGTGTGTGTGTGTGTGTGTGTGTGTGTGTGTGTGTGTGTGTGTGTGTGTGTGTGTGTGTGTGTGTGTGTTTTGTTTCCTCCTGGGAAACCGGCCCGGGCAGGGCTGGAGAACGAGAGAAGGCAAAGGAGGCCGGGACCGCAGGGGCCGGCAGCGACAGGGCACCCGGCACGAGGCGGTGGGCCGGGCGGCGGGCGAAGCGACGCGGCAGGCCTGCTGCGCCGACATGGCGTGCTGCTGAAACTTCGAGTTGCCGCCGCGGCCGCGCATCAGGCTGGAGGCGAGCACCTTCGGCGGCGGGGGGCGCGCCTCGCTGGCGGCGGGCAGGGGCGGCGCAGAGAGCAGCGGCGAGGTGGTCACGGCGAGCGACTGCGCTGCCGCCGGCGCGAGGCGGGAGCGTCACTCCCGAGAGGTACTCTGCAGCCCTGCTCGCAGGCCGTTCATGGGCATGCAAAGGAAGAACAGAGGGGGAGAGTAATTACGGAAGGAGGAGGAAGATAGAGAGAGTGGCTTGAGGAGGGCTCTCCTCAATCTCTCCCGATGCTTGTTATGAAGACACCGCGAAGGTAGGCGTTCCTATGTTGCAGACTGAGCAAGTTCAAGGGGGCGGCAAGACGGTCGTTGCATCACATCACTGCAGGTGCCTAGAATATCAAACGTGAATTCTCGGAGATGCCCGAAGATTTCGTGGGTCGTCGCTGACTTCTCAACCTCCGAAAAGTTTGCGTTTGACCATTCCCAGCAGGCGCAAGCCCGCAGACACTGCAGCCGCCACGCCCTCCCGAGGACCGGGGAAGGCCACGTGCGAACCGACGTGGCAGGGTGGGAGTTCCATCAACCTCCGATGTCCTCCTGGTCACACATCGACAGGAGCAGCGGCGACGGCGGCGGCGGAGCAGCAGCGGAGCAGCACGACTCTGCCGCGGTGGCTCCTCAGGGCGGCGGCAGCCCACGCAGCGGGCGACTGCAGAGCGATCGGCGGGGCGGAGGCGAGGGGGCAGTGACCGCGAGGGGAGGGCTGGACCAGCGCCGGATACCCTCGGCGGCGAGCCCAAAAGGGGGACGAGAGAGGGGGCAGGCCTCCTCGACAAGCGGCGGGGCTTCTCGGAGGCGCTCTCGCCTTCCGAGGAGCCGTCTCTGTGTCTTGCCTCTGGGCCCTCGGCGAGAACGCCCGCCCCCTCTGCCCTTCCCCCTCCGGACGCGCCGCCGAGGCCCACGCAAGAGTGGCCCAAGGGCCCTAGGCACGGGCGACCTCTGGCGCGCTGCTTGCTGGTCGTTGCACCGCGGTGCGACAGCAACAGATTGCGCGTTGGGGCTCGGCCCCTTCGCCCCCGCCCCGCGCAGGCCGCGCGCCGAGAGTCACTCTGGCGAGGGGTTCGTGCAGCCGTCTGCGGCGGGCTCACGTCGCCAGAGGGCCAGCGCTGGTTTCTGACAGGGCGTGGGCCATTCGACCTGGAGCGATCGAGGCGTTCCAGTAGCGCAGATGGTTCGGCGTCAACCGATTCTGGGCCATTGGCGGCGGTCAGCCTTGAACGCCCGCGCCGAAGGTCGTCGCCGCGTCAACGCAGCGCGAACCTGCCGTACGACGCGTCTACGTGACGCGACCCTGCCGCACAATACACGCAGTGGATCGGCGTGGCAAGGCGCCTTGATGATCGAGACGCGGAGCTCGCTCAGGAAGTTCATCATCAATCGGAGGCTGTCGGCACTGCAAGTGCCGCCTCCGTCGGCCACCGGCTCCAATGCCCTGGGCGGGCGGGCAACTGTCGCTCGAGCTGGCTCCCCGAGCGTCGAGAAGTGTCGGAAAGGTTGGTGCTACTCCCAGCGGACATCTCGAATGTGCTCGACCAGACGTGAAGATGTGCCGGACTCTGCTGAATTCTTCACTGCGGGATGCCAATGCCCACCTATTCCACCTGAAATAAGCGAGGGCCCACCAATAAAAATCTGTGACCTAACGCTGTTGACGGTTAGAAAAAAACGGAAGCTGTTTTGATGTCCAGCTGGTGCACGTTGGCAACAACATCTTCTTCACTTGGCTCTGAGCATCGAGCCCGGTCTCTTGTCACCGTGGCCACGGCCGCACGGGGCGCAGGTGAAAATATCGCAGCCCATTTTTTCCATTTTTGAATGCGATATGTCACAGATTTTTTTCGGGGGCGCGCGCGTTTCCAACGTCCTCCCAGTGTGCGGCACACGTGGTCGGGCCAATACTTGCGGTCGTGGCTGTTATCGTTGTCGCAATAGCCCGTCTGATTGCCGTTGCGATGCCATGACCCGCGGTCGAAGATGCAACGCCACCTTCGCTGCGCCTGCGGATCCAACCGCATCCACAGTCGCACCACGAACCGCTGTCCTACGCGCAACCGGGGCCGCAACGGCACCCTCGTCGCACCAGTAGCCGCCAGAAACAAAAGAACGCCATTGCAAGCCAACCCAAGAGTCGCAACGGTTGCCGCGGTCGAGGCACCAACCTCGCGCCCGCGACCGCATCGTCGCCCTCTCTCAGGCCACGCTAACAACCGCCCCGGCGCCTTCGCACATTTGCCCTGCGCGGTCGCCCCACCTTCCGAGACCGCGGCAACCGCAACAGCGAAAGCGGTTGAGGCAGCAATCAGAGGATTACCAGCCGCGGCGCTGCCGCGACGCGGTACCTTGGCGCCACCGCCCTAAAACCAAGGTCGCTGCCGCAGCACGCGCGCGCGCGGTCGTCGCAGCCGCTATCGCAGCTGCTCCCGCGCAAGCCGCTTCTCACCCGAAGCGCGCTTGCGATTGCCACTATAGACAATGTCAGCGTTTGGGCCAAAATGGCGACTGGGGAGGGGAAGGCGAAATTGGGGGAGAAGAGAGAGCAGAGCAGGGGTACGATGGGGGGAGGACATGGGGAAAAGGGCACTCTCAGTTGCGGTCGCAACCCTTGCATCATCCAGGGCTCGGGCCAACGTGGCGAGCGGGGGATTGATATGGGGAACACGAGGGGGGCGAGGCAGGAAGCAGGAAAGGTGCGACCGCGTGCCGGATGCACCAACTGAGCAACATTCAAGAAATCACATTCTAAGTCCCTGCATGGGCGAGCAAAAGACGCAGGGCGAGGCCGATCACCCGAAGTTCCACGGCCCCTGCAATGCGCGATGGGGGCTAAGCTTACCAGGGCAGGGGTCAGAGATCTGGCCACGCACGACGCGCGACCTCCTGGTTACGCTACGCGCACTTCCTTACATGTTGCGTTTTGTTTTGCAACCCGTGCCGTTGGCCCTAACACGTGGTTGCCTGTGGCATCCGGCCTGTATTTCTCCTTCTGCCCATATCCCTTCCCTTTCCCCTCCATGCGCGCGTGCCCGAATGACATCCGCCGCCGCGCCTCCGGCGCGTTGGGGCGCGTTGGATTGCTCGCCCGCTGCGCGGTTGATGATATGTCTGCATGTCGGGGTGCGGCCGCCCTGCCAGCAGCATGCCTCCGAAGGCTTTGTTTCGAAAGATCAAATTCGCCAGCGCCTTGTTCATTTCCAGGCGTCGGCGGGCTACCCTGGGACATCCCGAGAAAACCTGCAAGTGCCCCAAAGCTAATTCAAAAACGGCCTGAGGAACCCTGAAACTGCCTAAGATGACTCCACGGCGCTCTGCGCGGCCGTGGGATCTTCCCATGGACGCCCACGAAGATCTCGAACAGGGCCCGAAAAAATGAAACACATCACAACTATATAGACGGTCACTCCGTCTTTGCCCCCGAGAATGTTCCGCAGCCGATCGCCACGGTGGAGCCTCAAATAACTCCCCAGGAAAACTCGTGAGCATGGCCAGCAAGCCTGCCCCGAGAGAGCCCGCGGGCGGCCCCCAGGCCGCCCAAGCACCGTTGGCGCAACCCGCGAAAGCCCCGAAACGGCCCCGCAGCCCAACCCCACGGCATCAAGAAACTTCAAGTGAGGCTCAGCGAGTGGCCTCAACGGCATCATCACACCCCAAACGGGCCCGAGACCCCCGAGGTGCCTCCGGAGCGCCCCACGCGGGTCCGCGAGAAGCCCGCGACAAGGCCTAGGAAAGCCCCTATGAGACACATAAGCGACGAGAGGCTTCCAACGACGTCTCACAAGGAGAAGGGGAAGGGGAGGGCGACGAGGCAGATGACGGTGAAAGGAAAGAGGGACACCAGGATGCAAATGAAGAGGCGGCGTCCACGCATCGCGCCACTCCAAATAAAATGGTCCGCTGGGGGGATATTGAACTCCAGATCCGCCCTATTGCAGTGAGGCGCCGGCGAAACGGCGGGGCGTGCCGCAGGCATCTGAATATACCCGCCGGAACGAACGCACCGCTGCCATGTCTGCATTTTCTCCTCGGCCCACACTCGGTCCGCCTGAACTTCGAAAAATGTCATCCCTCTGTATGGCCCCGGGGCGCTGCAAGAGGCAAGCGTCTCAAATTGCTGCGCTGCAACGGGCATCCGGCGCGAGTCACGACAATTCAATTGGGCAACTCCCTTCCAAAAGAATTCCTCGCGCCGCGATGCACCTGAGATTGCGACAGCAAGCTACCCCCAATCGGTTACTGGCCAAATTAACTCCCCGCGAACCCGCCAGCCAACTGCGCACCCAGTGCTTCGCCCCCAGACTTTCGCATAATCCAAACATCTTAATTGGGCGTGGCCCCTCCCGTCCGCCTCCTCCGCCCTCGCGTTTCCACGTTGCTTCCTCCCTCCTCCCCCCCATCCCCCCCTCGCCCATGTAGCATCCACCCTCCCTCCCCTCTCCTCCCCCCACTCCCGCGCCCCCCTCCCACCCTACCAATCCACGGCCGCTCACCCGCTATCCCCCGCCCTACCCCGCTATTATATTCCCATCCTCCTTCGCGCCACCGCCCGCTCCCGTCGCCCCACCACCGCGCGCGCCCTGACCGCGCCCCTGGCGCGCACAAGCGCGCGCGCGGGGCGAGCGAGCGATATGCGAACGATACGCGTTATGCCGCCATTCCGAGATATTGCGCGGAAGGCGCGATGCCAAACTAAGACGCCCATCGCGGCGAGAACTATGTGTTGTTTTACACGAGGGCACGAAACACGAGTCCTCAAAATATGCACCACGCAAGCCAATCACAAAACCACGCGAACGACACGGACCCGAGGAAGAAAACGCGGCGTAGACACGAGGGCCCCCCAGCTTCCAAAAAACACGTTTACACCCCTTGTCGTCTAGCCCCCCCCCCCCCGCCCCAGCACGACAGCGGCCCCGCGCCATTTGGCTGGGCAAACTGCTACGTTGAGGCGCCTAGGAGCACATCGCCATGGCGGCGCTCACGGCCTTCGAAGTCTTCTCACCGGAACCCTTGGCGCTGGGCTTTGCCTTAGCACCCTTTGCCTTGGGAGTCGCCGTGCCTTCGGCCCTCCCAATGACGGCGTCGAAAGGTGCAAGCTCGCCAGTCGGAACCAAGAAGCGGTACGTAATCAGCTCCCGCACGTCGCCCTTGGCAATCGTCTGCTCGTCGGCCAACGTGGTCTGCGCCGTCTTCAGCTTCAGTTGCAAGGCCTCGAAGCCGAATACTGTCGTCGCCGCGGAGTCGTCGGCACTGGCCGACTTCTCTGCGCGGACGAGGTACGGGAACTGGTCCTTCACGGCAATCAAATACTTGTCGGCCCAGAGGGCCGACACGTCTGGGCACCTATCGTCAACGATGGCCAGGAGAACTTTCTGGACGACGCCGTGCTTCACTTGCGCTGGCTTCGACGCCATCTTGTACACGTCCACCTTGGTGAGACCCGTAATCTTCTGGAGGAGCTCGTCCGGCTCAACAGCCACCTCCGCCGTCGGGAACAGAGACGCCATGTGAGCGATCAGCCGGGCCTCTGAGTTCACGCCGCACGTCGAGAAAATGAGCTGCGCGTCGCCCTCGAAGTCGCCATCGTTGTCGTCGTACTCCCCGCGGTTGGCCCTCAGGTAAGTCGCCGTCTGCTCGCCAGTCATGCTGCCTGCCTCCTGGAAAGCACGGTTGCAAGCTTCTCGAGCGACCTTGGGCTGCGCGCAGAGGCATTCCCCGATAGCGCGAGCGGACGCCACCTGCGGGTTCTTCAGGACAACGTCCTCGCACCAGAGTTTCGGCAACTTCTTTTGGGCGACTGCCATGGGCCGCCAACGGAAGTTCAGACTGACGCTGATCTCGCTAGCGAAGGAGCCGAAATCAATGGTAAAAGAGTGCCCCGCACACTTCACCACGACCGTGCGAGCATCCGGGACGAGGTCAAAGTTTTTCACCTGGGTGATCCTCTCGTATATGCTGAACTTCACGGCATCGAGGCCGTCCTGGGTAAGATCGCCAGCGGCGATCCACTCGTCGCTCAGCTGCTCGATCAGCTTGGAAACCTCCCTGCTCGCCTCCCCAATGAGGGCGAAAGACCAAATGTCTAGACCTCTTCCGGTGCCAACAGATGCCTTGCGCAAAAAAAAAAAACCTCCTCCATCCTGTACCCCCTCTTCCGTACCTCCTCTCTCCTGCTCCTTGCCTCCTCCTGCCTGTCTCCAATCCTCCCCTGCCCCCCGTTCGGCCTGGCCCCCGCCTCCCCCAAGTTCCTCCACCATGTCCTATCCTCCGTTCCCTGCCCTCCGCCCCCTGCCCCACTCCTTCGCCCCCCTGTGCCCATGCCACCCATTCGAGCCCCCCTACCCCCAATCCAACCTTCCCATTCCTCTCCTCTGGGATTTTCGCGCAATGGCATTCGCGCCATTCGGCCTGCTTCGCCGCACGATACGAGCGCGTCGAGGTGATTCTTCACCTTCGCGTAGTTGCCATTGCAGCCCAGCACCGCGGTCAGGGGGGTCTGCGGGAAGACCGAGCGGATCAACACCGGGTGGGACTCGCAGAACTTCTGCGCCGTTGGGGGGTTTTTCACGTTGGTGCCCGTGGCCCGGTCCCACATGGCGCTCACCACCTTGTTCGCGAACGGCCTCACGACGCTGTCGTATATAAGACCGTACTTCTCGGCGACCTTCGTCCGCACGACAAACTTCAGGAAGGGCTGCAAGAACTTCACGTTCTTCGGTGCCTTCGGGTTCAGTTTGATGGCCCATTTAACAATGCCAACAATCTCGTTCTTGTTCTTTGCTTCGTTGGCGCCGATGTACGTCACCATCAGCGTGTGGTCCGGCCGTGTTTTGTTGGACGCTACCAAAGCTTTGAACAGGAGTGGCGCTACGGGCTCGGGCGGACTTGCCCCCACCAGCACCTCGGAATGGTCATTCTTCTTCGGGTGCTTCTCCTTCATCCTGCGGTAGAAGAGCCCGCCCATCTTGACGGTGCGGTCACGCTTCTTCTTGCGGACCTGCGCGAGGACATTCTCGAATATAGTCGTCTCGTCCTCGCCCCGCTGGACGAAGATTTCCTCATCCGTGTAGCTCTTGAAATTGTCCCTGCACGCTTTGACGGCCGTCTCCTCGGACGGCGTCTTTTTAAGTTTCTTGTGAACCTGCGCCTCCGCGGCTGCCTTGGCCGATGTCGCGGCCATGACCATCGGTGAACGCGGGAGCCTGCTGAGACGGTTGCGCAGGGGCTCGGCCAGAGGGGTCAAATAACCAAGACTGCCGCGTGAACGGCGCAGGGGAACGAACCAAAATGGCGACGGGGAGGAGGGGGAGGAGCAGGGGCAGCAGCAGCAGCTCGGGAAGAGGACGAACTGAGGAGACGCCGACCGCTTTCGGGACGTATTGTCCTCGAATAGTTTGCAATGCGGTCCCCCCGGTGGGCATTGGAACGCGAACCTTACCAGGGTGCTGGAATCTGGTTATCTGGAGGGTTTGGGATCGCGGCCCGCCCTGGCGAGAACTTAGGGAGGTGTGGGAACATTCCTCAAAGCTTATCGGCTCCAGGGCTTGACTCAAGCAGAAGAGGTGTCCTCAGCAGCACTGGGCGAATTTGTCTTACAATGCTTTGCGCTTCCAACATTACCAACTATCCGGAAGCCCCATCAGAGACATGAAAATCATGTTCGCGGAAGCGTCTCCTGGAACATGAGTTTGGCCTCGGGAGGCCCAGGCCCAGGACCCCGGAAGGTCAAACGACCAACCGAACAAGTGGAAAACGTCCGCTGCACAGAGAGCCCCCTTACATGCAGCGAAAGATTTCTGGCCTCAAGAGGCCCCAGCCCCAGGTCCACGGGAGGCCAAGCGACAAATCGAATAGAGGGAAAAGCCCGCTGCACTTAGAGCCCCCTTCAGTGCAGAGGTACGTTTCGGCATCAGGAGGCCCCGGTTCTGGGAACAAAGAGGAGCCCGAGGCTTAGACACGGCTCAAGCTGGACACATCACATATGTTTCAAGCTGGCCTAGAGCCGGCCCTAAAAGGGAGGCCTCCAAGACGGCCCCAGAGGGCTCCAACAGAGCCTCCAACAAGACCCGAAGAGGCCGAAACTTCTGATTTCCATAAGTTTGCAAGTTTTCGCATTCCCTGGCACTTGAAAAAAAAGGGAAATCTTGGATTTCCCTTTTTTTTTCAAGTTCGTTCCAAAGCCCAATCCCGAGGAGCTCCATTGGGCGGCCTGGGTCAGGACACTCTTGCGTCGCGACGGGGGTCTGGGTCGGGACACTCTTGCTTCGCGACGGGGGTCTGGGTCGGGACACGCTTGCTTCATGGCGGAGGCCTGGGTGGAGACACTGTTGCTTCACGACGAGACCCTAGGTTGGGACACCCTTGCTTCACGACGGGGGCCTGGGTCGGGACACTCCTGCTTCACCAAGGTGGCCTGGGTCGCAACAATCTTCCTTCACGACGGGCGCCTGGGTCGAAGCATTCTTGCCCATCGACATGTTTGCTTCACGACGGGGGCCTGGTTTCAGACACTCTTGCTTCGCGACGGGTGCCTGGGTTGGGACATTCTTGCTTCACGACGGGACCCTGGGTCGGGACACTCTTGCTTCGCGACGGGGGTCCGGGCCTGGACACCGTCGCTTCACGACGGGGGCCTGGATCAGGACACTGTTGCTTCACGACGGGAGCAGCGCTCACAGGGGCCCTAACAAGGCCCAGCGGGGCCCGAAGAGGCCCCCAGGATGGCTCAAACAGGGTCGACGAGGGGGGGGGGGCGATTTGTTAACATGGGGGGGGGGCACGATTTGTTGACATGGGGGGGGGGGCGATTTGTTAACAAGGGGGTCTCCGCAGCAATCCGCCGCGATGGGGGGGGGAGGATTTGTTAACATGGAGCCCGGACGACCGGTTAATGAGGAGCACATTAAAAGTCGGCCGAAGAATCCTGGTGGGATGATCGGTGAATTTGTCTGTGAATTCTTTGTGAAAATCTTGTGAATACCTGGTGAATTTTTCGGTTCGTTTTGCCTCGATACACTTGTCGTATTATGATGACAAATTCTCCACATGAAATTCACAAGATATTCACGGGCGTCGTTCGTCCTAAATTCACTTCGGTTTTCCTATGGCTCATCTGCCCCCGAACTGCGAGGACACACCCTCTGAGAGCTGGAACGTTGCGCACGGAGTCCCCGGAACTCGTCCGAGCGACTTCCAAGGGACTTCCAAGAGTAGGACCTCCAGAGCCTTGCAGCCTTCTTTGGACCCATTTCGGGCCCCCGCAGGGGCCCGAAGTGGGTCCAAAGAAGCCCGCACTTGGACCCCACTTCGGGCCCCCGCAGGGGCCTCCGAGAAGCCCCCAAGAGGGCTCCAAGAGGGCCCCGGGAAGCCCCGAGAGGGCCCCAAGAGAGCTCCAAGAGGGCCCCCAGAGGGCCCCAGGAGTTATGTACCAACCGGGGGCCCGCTGGTACATAACTCCTGGGCCCCTCTTGGGGCCATCTTGGAGCCCTCTTGGGGGCTTCTTGGGGCTCCAAGAGGGCCCCTAGAGGGTTCCAAGAGCCCCTTGTCCAACTCCGTCTAACGGAGTTGGAACTGATACTTGCTAGGACATCTTGGAGCCATCTTGGGGCCCTCTTGGAGCCATCTTAGAGCCATCTTGGGGCCCTCCTGGGCCCTCTCGGGGCCCTGCGGGAGCTCCCTGAGGGCCCTGAGAAGCCTCCAGGATGGTCTCAGTGAGACCCTTGTCCAACTCCGTCTGACGGAGTTGGAACTGATACTTGCAAGGACCATCTTGGAGCCATCTTGGGGCCCTCTTGGAGCCATCTTAGAGCCATCTTGGGGCCCTCCTGGGCCCTCTCGGGGCCCTGCGGGAGCTCCCTGAGGGCCCTGAGAAGCCTCCAGGATGGTCTCAGTGAGACCCTTGTCCAACTCCGTCTGACGGAGTTGGAACTGATACTTGCAAGGACCATCTTGGAGCCATCTTGGGGCCCTCTTGGAGCCATCTTAGGGCCATCTTGGGGCCCTCCTGGGCCCTCTCGGGGCCCTGCGGGAGCTCTTTGAGGGCCCTGAGAAGCCTCCAAGAGGGGCTCAGTGAGACCATTGCCAAACTCCGTCAGACGGAGTTTGAACTGATAATTGCTAGGACCATCTTGGAGCCATCTTGGGGGGCCACCTCGATTGGCCCAAGATGGCACCAAGAAAACCCAAGATGGCCTCAATATGGCTCCAGAGGGCCCCACGATGGCAGCAAGAAGGCTCCGATATGGCCCCCGAAAGCGCCCACGGGTTTAACTGTGGGCCTCGCTCGGGCACTGGGTTTGGGGCTCTCTTGGGCCCCTGTTGGGCGCTGACGCGCCCGAGCGTGAAGCAGCGACGCACTCGCGCCGAAGCTCGCCCACCCGACCCCGCATGGCACCAACGCGCCGAGTCCGTGACACCTCGATTCCGTGACGGACCGATTCCACGATACATCAGCGCGCCAATATCCATGACGAGCTAAGGTACGAGAGGCAACGTCACTGAAAGTGCACGCCGAAGCCGAACAGAGGGCATGGAAAGACCGCAGACGTCGACGACGACGACGACGACAACGGCGGCGAGGAGCGGTCAGGGCGGCGAGGACGGACGGCGAGGGGGACGAATAGGACAGGAGGGGGCATAGAGGGGGAGGGCGAGGACGAAAAATAAGGGATAGGAGACATACTCAGCTCATGAAGAACTCGGTGCGAAGATCGGCCGAGCCCCGCCCATCCATGAGGGCCCTGACATCCGAGACCCCCTTTGCAACAGATGGGGGCGCATGCGCGTATGCGCCTGCACTGCCGGCCGACTCGCATTTCTAAGGCATACATACAGTTTGGTGGTCTGCACATTTACAATTTCGAACGTCCACAACTGGCCCAACAAGTTCAGTGGACCTGCCCCTGACCACGACCAAGCCGCAGGCGCCCAGACCGTCACACTTGTTTTTGCCCACGTGCGCCACAACGACTTTAAACGATTCTGCCCAGAAGGCCAAGTAATGTGAGTCGAGGTAAGCCCTATCCCGCCAGCCTGGCTCCAGTTGCGTTTCCCGGCCGACGCTGGTCCATTATCTCAGCCGCGGGTCGTTTTTCTTGCTGGCGAGGTCGTTATGTTTGTACCCCATGTCTGCGATGCTGCTGCAGTGGGCCCGCTTGCTAGGTTGTTTTGATACCCCTTCCCCTGCTTCCCCCCCGCCCTGTTCCCACTAGTGGTTTTGCTCCCGGCCCGGGCGCCACCTGTCCTCCCATTCCTGCCGTACCTCCTCTTCTCGGCCCTGCCAGGATCCCAAGGGATGCGATCGCGAGATCGCGTCTGCAACGCGCAGATGGTTTTTCGCTCTGGCGCCAGATGCGGCCAGATTGTTACGGCACTGGTTCGGCAACGCCTGCGTCAGAGAAACAGCGACTCAAGCTGGGCGACGCGCCCTCGGCACGCGGCACTCCGACCGCATATTTCCTCTCTGTGCCGGAGGACCTCCGAGGGCGACTTATAGGCCCCGCGCTCCACCTCGGTGAAAGCGCGCAATGGGTCCCCACTGCGGCTCAGATGATAAAAATGTTCCATTTTATGCACCCACGCGCGGCACATGACCGCCGCAAAGAGCGGAGTAAACATTTTCGTATCGTACCGACAACTGAAACCGATGCCCCTCTTGCGGCACCAATCCTCGACCTCTTTGCCAATCGCCTTGCCGGTGTAGGTTTCGTGGCCGCGGCCTGTCTTGGCTTTGGCTGCCGCGCCGCCCGTCACTGTGACGCGGAAGTAGTCCAACCTGTTGTCCGGCGTGTCGACCAGCGAATCCCGGGCATCATGGAGTTCGTCCCACGCTTTGGCCTCTGTCTCCTCATCCAACTGGCAAACCGAATCATCATCGGATGCACTTGACTCGTCGGCCCCCGCCTCAGCGCGCGCGATCAACTTCCCCTTGTCGCTTGCCCTCTTCAACAACTCGCTGGTCATATGTTTTCTGCTGCTTGCGGGTGCCCTTTTGGACTCGGAGCCCCGTGCATCGCATTGCTTCTCCGTCGCGTCCACCGGGCAATGGAGAAAGAACCAACCCAGTGTCACAGGATCTCGCCGGCACGCGTACGTGCTCCCCTCTTTGTATTCCAGAGGCTGGTAAACGTCGATTGCCTTTGACTCCAAATCCGAAATCCGGTCCCCTCCGAAACACTCCCCCCAATCAATCACGAAATGGTGCCTGTCCCATCGCTTGTACGTTCGTTCCCAGTCCGCTGGGCAAGCCTGAGACAAAGGCA